GCAGCTGATTTCAAAGTATACAGAGTGGATTTAGATGGATTGGTAGAGGTGAGGAATTTAGGGGATGAAGCGTTGGTTTTGGGGTACGAAGAGGCAAGTTTCTCAGTTTCAGCCTTAGATTTTGAAGGAATTGTTGAAGGGAATTGCATATATTATCCCCGAGACTCAATAGGCGTGCTCACCGCTATTATTCATGTATTCCATCTTCAGGAAAGGATTCTGAAATCTACAAATGACGAAAGAATTTTCGGGCCACCGCCATTGTTGCTCCATCTCGACGCCCCTCATCCCTTCAATTTTCTCATCAGATATTTATAAACTGCTCATCTCTTTCATCCTCATGAACAATCTTTTCGACAAAAATATATACAGAAAACCTTCATTCTAATTCTTATTGCACACTTTCCATGCTATGCTTATATATGATCATGTAGTTAGTTATGAGAGGCAGTTTGATTATCATCTGCAGGAGCGTTCCTGAAAGAGTTTACCCCTTCAGCAAAGGAGTCTGCCATAACTTGTACGAATTCTGCTGCGATAGAAGCAACGTCTATAACTTGGAGCCCTTGCCTTCGGCTCAAGTACTCGAAGAGAGATCGAGACCGTACACGTGTTCGGACATGGTGAGATGTAGATGCTGCTGCTGAGTTATTACAGTGTACCATTTGCTTTAACATTCTTTCCATGTTATCACTTCACTAGGTTGTGGTGAATGGTGATGGTTATTGTGGGGGAAGCTTCCATTGAAATTTTAGCTGCAGCATAATTAGGTTAGGTAATCTTGTTTCTACTGGTGTAAAATTGTTTGTGGTGGTGATAAAATAGATGCTTTATGATTATTCGTTTTCATGTTTTTGCCCAATGAACCATGGAAAGGTTAAAGGTATTGAAACTTATCCTACAATTCAACGGTATTTTGTGTAATTTAAAAAGAAATTGAGGGGATAAAATTTAGACATTCACGAAGAAGTATCTCCTACCTGAAAAAATTGACAATTAAAAGAGAAGAATAAATAAAAGATTTTTTTTTTTAATTGTTTATCCATATGGAAAACTATTTCCAAAATAGAAAAAATAATAAATAAATATACTAGCACAAAAACAAATAATATATTTCTGTTTTTTTTTAAATAATACTGAAAATAATTTTCCAAAATTCGCACATGAAAACGAGCCTTTGTTCTTCAAAACGATTTACTTTTTCATTAGTCGATTACAATAGAGAAATGAGGACCAAATGAGATATTATTTTTGCGTTTTAATGATAATCTTATATGTTAATTGATAGAATTTTTCCATGCAAAAACATATTTAGAAATATAAAATCTAAGATGATTAGGATTAAACTCTTTGCTGGGTATAATAATCATGTCACAAAAGGATTAGGATTTAGAATATTTATATACAATAATCTGTACATGAACGACTCAAACTCATTAACTAATACCAAATGTTAAAGGATGTTTTCTTTCAACTTATCCCATCGAGCTCGAATCCTGAAATTTCTGCCAGCTCTGACAGCTCTTTCTCTCCACTCAAAACCTGCAGGAAACAAGAATTCGCTGATACAACAATAAACCAGAAAACAACTTAACAAGAAAGAAAAAGCAAGGAAGATATATAGCTCTAGATCAGACGGTTCGTACCGTTTTTCACACTCTAACACTCATTGAACATGTATCGGACACTAGTTAGCTCAATAGACGTGTATCATACATACTCAAACATACAAAAGAAACAAAGCGAAAAGGCTTCAATAGACAACAAACCTCCAATGAATGAATTTAATGCTTTCCAATTTGGGTTCAGCATAATAAATAGACATAAAAAGTAATATAAAACAAAATAGTAAATTTTAAGAGTAAAATACATCAAACTCATTTTTTACACATAAAAATGTATAAACATATTGAATTTAAATTTCCTCCGGATACAAAAATGACATGTCTAAAAAAATTGTACTTTCTTTCAAATACTTCCCTACACAAACTCTCTAGAAATACACACATTCTCTCCCAAAACTTTTATCTACTTGAAACATATCTTATCAATGTACTCTTACATATTCTCACAAACTCTCTAGAAATACACACATTCTCTCCCAAAACTTTTATCTACTTGAAACATATCTTATCAATGTACTCTTACATATTCTCTCGCTTGACACACTTCTATATATAATTTCTCCTACAACGTCATGTATGTGTGTATAAATTTATGTTAAACTAAATTATTATATTGGGTCCCTCCACCTTAGTTCAGATTCACCCAGCCCAATTGCCTTTGTCAAGAAAAAAACAAAACAAAACAAAACAAAAAACAAAAAAGGTATATGGGTAGCTAAATTTAGTGCGATCAATTCTAGCAAAAACACAAGAAATATAGTGAATGCAACATTTCTAATAATAACATTGCATAGGAATGTAAACAAGGTGACCCTAAGATATGCTTTTTTTACCTGACCGTTAATCACCCAACTTGGGAAGCCTTCAATTCCAGCTTCTGTACAAGCTTTCTCTATTTTAGTGCCTTTGTGATATCCATTAGGGAAACACTCTACGTAGTCTAATATTTTTGCTGCCTCACGTCCAAACATCTGTGTCAACAGCAGGATAACATAATTTATAATATGATTGTTTGGCATCTCAAAGCAACACTCAGAGGAACAGTGTTGCCGCCTCAGAATTATGTTACCACATTACTTATTCAAGTCATTACCATGTTAAAAATGGAGAGATTACCTCTTTTTGTTCTAAACAATGTGAACACCAAAAAGCTCCATACATTTTGGCCCCGATGGACTGCAGATGCCTCGCAAGGGAAATAGCCAAAGGGCTCGACGGTTTTGCTATCTCAACTTGATAGTATGGAAGGTCAAGTTCAGCCGCACTATAAGGTCAAAACAAATAAATTTCATATAAAACAAAGAAAGGAAACCAAAATGAAGTTATCAAAAAGCAATAGAAAAAAAAATGCATATAGATAACTTGAGATTGACTTGTAAAGGAAAACAAAAGAAACATCAACTAAACCAATCTTATATTTCAAAGCAATATCACAATGATTTATAGCTTCAGCAAGACCAAATATCAAGATAGCTCCTAAAAGAGTCAAGATCGAAAGAAGTAGCATTCTCAGATCCATGATGACAAGGAATTGGAACCAAAGGATACACAGAAAAAAAAAATCATAATTTATGGAAATACTAGTTAGATTTCCTTTCATAACAGACAGGGAAAAAAAATTATAGCTACAGTTCTAGAGAATAAATCATGGAGAAGAAACCATTTATGTCAAAAGAGAGAATATAAGATGCAATAACAATATTAAAGGAGAAATATTGTTTGCTTCCTAATGCTCGCCATACTATAAATGTGTAGGCATCAAAAGTTAATCAAACGTCCAACGGCCAACTATTAAAAGGCACATTAATGAAAGGAATTATTCATTTAGCTCTCTTAGAAAGATCGTTTGCAACACTAGTAATCAATAACCTTTGAGAAACAGGAAAGGAACTATTATATGAGGCAGAAAGGGTGACGAAAACCAAGCTAGCAACAAATATCTGAAAGCCCACTCGCCTCGTAATCTCTTGAAATCCAAATTCCTAGAATATAACCACAAGAAACATTCAGAAATTCATGACTCAACAACAAGAATCTTTAATAAACAATACCCAAAATCAAAGCAAACACTAGTAAAAATAAAGACCTTCACTGTGGCAAAGAACAAACTGGATGACAACAGAGCAGATATTAGGCAATACGAGCATGACACTCCCGAAAATTTTGAGCTCAAAACGTATAGAAAGTATGCACTGGCAGCTGCCATAGAGGTAGTAGTCCCAAGCAGGACTAAACGACCATCAGATTCATCAATACCAAAGGGCAATTTCTTCGCTGCCAACTGCAAACTAATTGCTCCTACTAAGCCATACGCAACCATTCCAATCAAGGGCAGTGGTACACCTAGTATCGACACGCGGAATCTTCTTCAAGATATTCATAATTTAGAAGCAAAAACAGATGCATCGATCAACAAAAAGGGAGATATATCAATCAATTACAGGCTTACAGCGACGAATTAGGTTAACAGATTGAAAGTTATACCAAAAACGGCGGCATATTCACTGTTGAGAACGTCGTCGCAGCTTCCGCCACCGATTGGGCAAAAAGCAGCTGCATTCGCGAGCTTGAGGTAGCTCAAGTACGCGGTTTCAACGAATCCAATCCCGCCCAACGCAGCACAGAGATTATACGTCGAATTACTCGAAATTGAGGGAGAGAATGATGAAGAAGAATCCAAGGGAGTAGTATCAGCTTCCGGCTCAGTATCCTGATTAGTTCCCCCGGACAAGCAAAAGACAGGAACCAGGAGCCGTCTCTGAACCCAAAACTTTGGGTAGTTGAAAGAATCATATCTGTGATGAAATAGAGAAAGAAACTGGCGAGGAGAAGGTCTCTGAAACGATAATGGAAGAGATAGTAAAGCGGCGGAGGTGGAGCACGCCATTTTTCTCCGATTTGCAAGCAACCGGGAAATGAAGAAAGTCGAAGACGAGCTTTCAGGCTGCCGCGGAGAGGAGACGACGGAAATGCAATAGTTGATGCTTATGGGCCTCAGGGCCCACTAATCAATGGGCTGAGAAATGGGCCTTTTTCTTGGCTGTTGAGTTATCAACTGACAACTTAACAAGCTTGCTTGTTTTCTCATTAACTTTTTTTCTTTTTTTTTTTCAGAAAACTCATGCATTGTGACTTTCCATTAATAATTTTGAACCATATTGGATTGAATACATCAATAGTTAATGAGATATTTAATTAAATAAAAGCCGATTATACAGGGGTTGTTTGGTATTTTCTTTTAATTCTTTGTTTTTCTACTTGTCAACTTGAACATATTGCAACTATTTAAGGCACATATTCTCGTATCATTTCTATTTTTTAAAATAGCTCTCAAAATTGTATTAAAATGTTTTTTTAAAAATAAATCACTAGTTTCACTTAAAATCTGAGATAATATTTGAAGTTATCAAATACATTTTCGATCAATAATCAATTATTATCTGCATTTCTTCCTCAAAAATTAAAAACGAACAAATATGAAATAATGATGATAACAATTTTTTTAGTTCAATAAATTGAAATTGTGGGAAATCTAATATCGATTTGTGAGATGATATGATTGTAGGTTCTTTATCTCATGAGGCATGTTGGAATCGGCATAAATGAGAACGTTCATACCCTAAATATTTTTCTTCTAATACAACATGTGGGATGAAGATTCGAACTCACAACATTTTGATTAGAGATAGATGCCTTAATCAATTGAGTTATATTAAGGTTGGTCATACCCTTAGTAATTGGTCAATCATGTACTCAATAATTAATTCCAAAAGTACTCAATTATTTTTTCATATGGAGATAAGACTCAATTATTTATTTATTATTTTTTTGTACGTTAAGACTCAATTATAATTGACATTCAATAGTATTGATCATATTCCATTTAATCTTCTTATTGATCATATTCCATTTAATCTTCTTAAAAAGGCATTTAGTCATATAATTAACATCTAATCATCATTCATCAATGATCTTCAAGTTATATTATATCTTATAAATTAAAGTTACATCCACCAATTTGATTGGAAATATCTCCTTTTTTAGTACAATACGTGGAATGGGTCGAACTCACCGCCTTAGAAAAATATCTCAAAGAAATCCTATTAAGAGACTGAGTTGGAGAGACAAAAGAAAATATATTTAGGTGGAATAATAAGATGTGAATAAAGATGACGAAGCAACATTTTTAAAATAATTTATTTAATTTAAATTTTATTTGGTTCTAAACTTTTAATTCTATTTTATTTTGGTTCGCAAATTTTGTTCAACATTTTGCCCGTGAGCTTGAAAAAAATCATTTTAGTCCATAAGATTTTTAAAATATTTATTTCAAAAGTCTTGAATTTAAAATATACATATGTTTTAGTTATTATTATTATTTTGATGCGTAACATTTGCTAACTCAATAATATTTATGCTAATCAATCTACACGAGTGTTCGATATATACTCACTACAGAAACACATTAATAATAATATCCACTCAAAACTAGGTTGATAACAACTACTTGATCTACTAAGATGTAATGTTGTTCGACCAATATATGGATGGACCTAAAAATTATTCAACTGATTATTAAAGTACATATATTCGACACAAAAAGTCATACGTTCGAATTCTCCTACTTCGAAAATATATAACCACACGTAAATTTAATTTTTCTTAATTTAAAAATCTAGCTTACAACTTCAAAACCACAAACAAACCCAAAAAAAAAAAAAATTCTATAAACAAAAAAAAAAGAAACACATAAAATCATGATTGGCAATATTCAAGAAAAAGAAAAAAAGAGAAATAATTGTAAGTGGAGAGAGGGAAATATCTGGTTGGTGAGAAGGAGTAGGGGCAGCGGCAGCGCCAACCACGTGGAGAAGGATGGGAGGCTTTGAATTGTGTGCATTTCCTCCTAAGTTGGGATAATATTGACTCAAATCCCCCTCCCTTATGTCTCACTACCCCTTCAAACTTATCCACTCCATTTCCTATTCAACCAAAAACAACCCCAATAATATCACGTGTCACACTCATCTCTTACCCATCACAATTATATTTTTGACGAGTAAATAAAAAGACACAGAATTTTTTCCCTTTATAAAAAGTTAAAAAATTATCCAATTTTGAGTAACTAGTTTAATAACAAGCTCTATAAATCTACCTAGCATCTTAATCGCATGATTAAGACGTACATCTAATTGAAATTTCATCCTAATTAACCTAACATAAAGATTGTTTCTCAATCATGAGTATAGTTCAACAGTTAAGATGTCTTATTCATTCTATTGAAATCAAAGGTTCAAACTCTCATCTTTATGTTTGTTGTACTTAAGAAAAAAAAAACGTAGATATTAACTTTTTTTGAATGAGTTATCTGGTACAAGATATTCCTCGAGAACTAACAGATGACATGATAAGTGTAAGATTGATTGGATAAGTGTTTATGTATAAAATTTGAATGTTGGGAGGAGCAAGAGATCGAGAAAAGAAACCAACTCCAGCACTAAAGTCTATATTAGAATTCGAAATCTTGAGATGGAAATGTAGGACCCACTTAGTATTGTTAATAAGTTCTCTCATATCATATCATATCATATGGCGTGGCATTACCATCGCTCCTCTTCCTTCCACCGCCATTGCATTATATATATCTCCTTCTTCTAAATCTGAACCATTCTTCTTCTTCTTCGTCATATCCATTAATTACCTGCTTGATTTTCTAGTGCTTTCACTTCCCCATGGCGCTCGCTTCCTCATCCCGTTCTCTTCTTCTTCTTCTTCTTCCTAACAACAATAATCTCACTCCAATTACAAGGTATCGTCAACTTCCCCTCCTCCTCTGTTTCTGATTCTTGGCATAAGTGTTAATCAGAGCAATATGATCAATTAACAATTCATTTTCGTCCTCAGCGGGAGGTTGTTGCCGATAACGGGGTCTCTGCAGCGCCGCCGGAGAGATTCTGCCCTAAGCCATAAACATTGGAACACCAGGTAAACAATTAAACGCTTCCAATTGGAACAGATTAATAACGTCGTTCAATCGTGTGTCTAATTAATTCTTACTTTTCTGGTGAAGTCGGAATGCGGTTCTGAGAGAAGAGATGGAGGCGACGGCGGTTCCAACGTCGGTCCCGGTGCGCGTAGCCCTGGAGCTTCTCCAAGCCGGACAGCGATACTTGGACGTCAGGACGCCGGAAGAGTTCGCCGCCGGCCACGCTCCCGGTGCCATTAACATCCCTTACATGTACAGAGTCGGATCAGGTATTCAATCTTAATCGCGCGTCGAATTCGAAAGCTAGGGCAGAAATTTTGAAATCACTTCATATTCTCCGATTAAACGGTGGGTTCGGAATTGGGGATTTTGCAGGGATGACGAGGAACCCTCATTTCTCGGCGGAAGTGGGGATTTATTTCAGAAAAGATGATGAAATTATTGTTGTAAGTAGAGAAATTCATGGACGTGATTGTTGAATTGTTGTGTAAATTTGGATTCTGAAATTTTGGGTTGAATTGGATTAGGGATGCCAAAGTGGAAAGCGGTCTCTGATGGCTGCCGCTGATCTTCTTGCTTCCGTAAGTTTTTTTGTTTTTTATTGTTATTTCTTAAATAGCATGGTTACTCACTTTACTTCATTTGGTTTTTATTTTCTATTTTCTCCTAAAAAAGAAAGACAAAACTAATTTCATTTTTTCAACAACAAAAATGAAAGTGAAACTTACTTATAATGCAAGTTACGATCACTCGAGGTAAAAAGTACTTTTTAAGTTTCACCCATGACACTCAGACGTACGCTATTAAATTTTGACAATAAGAACGATAAATGTATAAAATAAGATATTTATCCATTTCTCGAAAAAAAAATAAAGAGGTGTCAAAATTATAGAGGTGATTAGCAAGAAACCTATTAATACATGAGTATTGTCATAAAAATATATATTTTTTCATTTTAATGAAAAAAAATTTCAAAAATACTTGATTGATCATAATTAAGTATTTTCTAACTTTTTTTAATACTATTTCGGAGTGAATTTGGAACTACTTTTGGAATATTTCGTTGGTACAATATATAGGATGAAATTTGAACTCACGCTTTTGATTGATGGTAGATAAGTGACTTAATTAATTAAATGATTGTTGTAGGTACTTTTTTAGTCCATTAAAAATAGTTTTCAAAATTTTATAATGTTTTATTAAATAATGAAAATTTTCAACCATACTTGCAAGTAAAGAAATACTTAATTAGTGATTTTATATGGAGTGTCATTAACTAAAGAAATACTTTTTAAGAAAAAAAATTGGTCTCAAATTCATTTTTATACTATTGAAAGTAGTTTTTAAGTGCTTCGGAAACAATTAGTTGGACCAAAAGTACTCTAAAAACTTTTTTCCAAGTATTCTAACTACTAATTTATTTTTTCTTCAAAAGCACAAACGTGATAAATTTGAGCCGAGACTAGTTTTAGTAATGGCAAAACAGAGTTAATAAAGATTACAAATTTTTTTAATAGTTGTCTGATATTAGTGATATATATATTTTTTAATTTTTTTTAGTAATAATAGTAATAATAATAATAATTATTATTATTATTATTATTTGTAGGGATATAGTTGCGTAACAGACATGGCGGGTGGATATGAAGCTTGGTCCCGCAATGGACTCCCTATGGCGGAGTTGTAAAGATTTACTATTGGACTTAGCCTGCTGCAAATGTACAGTTACCAACAAAAAATAATGCCTCACTATTTTACAACCAAAAAAAAAAAAACACCCTGTCCCAAAGAAAAAATGTTGGGTTCGATCGAATGTATTTTAGATTCGAGTCTTTTCACTCTCGGTTACTTAGTAGAGGAAAAAAATGCTTTTGAAGCAATCATGTTTAGACTTTGATCAATGTTCGTAAATATTGATAAGCGTAAACTTGTTGTCATTTTTATTTTTACTTAAGTTTAATTGAATTGTTTTTTTTTTAAAACAATGAATCTTCTTCTTAATATTTTTCCATATTGAAAATTTTCTTATTGAAGAGTTTAGAGCAAAATAATGACAAGTCGACATGAAGTGTCCCACAATTGGTCTTACTTTGCCTGTCTAAAAGCTTAGAAAAAAGTTATTTGCTAAAATAAATATTTAAGAAGTTTAGGGGTTGAAGCAAATCGGTGGAACTAAAGTACAAAGTATTGCCCGTATCCATTTGTTGGAGAATTTTTTCATAAATTTCTTATTAATCATTTTGGAGATATACGGTTGAAGATGAGAACGAGAGTGATAAAAAGAAGTAAAATTGAACATAAAAAATCAAAATTTATGGGATTTTTTTTTTTCTAGTACAGTACGTCGTGGGAGTGTAGATTCAAACTCTTAATTTTTTTGTCAAAAATAGATAACTTAACTAGTTGAACTATATTTTGGTTGGCTAGAATTTATGGGACTCGACTTTTAATAAATTGAAGGAGATTGATAAATTAACTTCATCCATTAAATTTAGTTCAGTTAAACTGATATATTCATTAAATGAACATGTTAATTTCTTTCAGATTAAAATTAGCTTAATTGAATATCAAATTTAATATTTGAAATAACGTAAAACTTTTAATGCAAGCATCGACATAAATTATGCAAAATTAGTACAATAATCTAAATATTTATCGATACCTTTACAAAATTTAAATGACAAGTATAGAGCTGACGTGAACATATAGTTCAATAGTAAAAACATATGATTTATTTCAGGTTCGAATCTTCACTTACATCTTGTATTTGTACTAAACAAATGATAGGTACGAAGAAAATAATAAAACAGACATTTAAGGTCCTGTTGAGTAAAATTCGTGTTTGTTGTTTCTCATTTATTCTTTTTTCACGGTAACTATTTATTACTGTGATACTTTCTCTTTTTATTGAAAAAATAAACAAAAACTTGTATCCTCTCCAAACTTTTTAGTTGAAAAATAAATCTTTTATATAAAAAAGAATTTTTTAATTAAATATATGCATTTTATAAATAAAAGATAAAATAATGATTTTATTTATGCTTTTAGAAAGATTTGAAATAGAAAAAAATAAATAAAAAATTTTGATTTTGTTGTTTTTAAAATTAACACTTAGAAATGAAAATCGAGACGGTCTAATTTATCTCTGAAAATTGAATTTTTAATAATTATTTTTCTTAACCGACTTCGTGACAACTAGCATGCCAATTGCCACCCTAAATTTCTGCATAAACAATAAGACAAGAGAATAAAAAGAATAATGAAACAGCTTTCAAAATATTAATTTATAAATGACACCATCCTTATTATATCTTGCAAAAAGAATTATTTTTATTTGTGGTCGAGTTTCTTTCGGGTAGATTATAACTCATAATCTATGATTACCTTAATTAAAAAAAAAACACTGAAAATTATTGTTAAAGTAGAGTTTTGTGAAGGAAAAATAACAAGGCTAAATTATATAAAATGTATATCCTGAGTTAGATGGTTGATTTTAATCATGCCATTATCGTTTTAAAAGTTTAATTTTAACCTGTAAAGTCTTTGAAAGAATTCCTTCACTTGCTTATGAGATGACCAATATTTCATTACCACAACTGTTCTCTCCTTGATGATATAAAAAGTGAGTTGTTGGAATTCAAACATTTTATAAGTCTTTGACCTGGATTTTTGTCTATTTATTATGAGATGGTAGCCTAAAATTTTGTCCATGATTGTGGTCAAATTTGCTTATGACCCTTGGAGGTATACGAGATTTCAATGGATCAAGCTATTAAGAAAGGATTATGGAACGTGGTCACTTGGAGGTATACCCTTGGAGGTAAACACTTTGACGTTTTATAATAAGTTTGGAGGCAGCTTGAAAGATGGCTTTTGAAAAAATCATGTGCAACTTTCGAACTATTTAAGTCTGTTGGTAAGTCAAATGATCACCGTAAGATCAAGCATGATAATGTATCTTCATGAGTCCACGTGATATGTCCTACTTTACGCCCAACAATTTTTTTTTATACAAAAATGGGAGAAGTTAATGAAGGATTTTCTTAGACCATTTTAAAAGTTAAAGGGTTTAATGCGCAAATTTTGAAATGACAGAACAAACTGTGATTTATGTTTTATCAAAAAAAAAAAAAATCTGTGATTTACGTACAATTTATATAATTTAACCATAAAATAATGAAAAACAAGGAAAGATTGAAAGATTGAAAAAAAAATAATAATTTAAGGATTAATAAAATAGTACGAAGAAAACAAGAGGACCAATCAAATTTGATTGCTGTCAGTTAGTGACCCTTCGGCCTTCCGTTAACACCTATGATGCAGGGCGTGCTACTATTTCTTTCAAAACCAACCATTAAAAATATATATATATAGCATAATTCAATCGGTCATATATATTTATATTTCTACAAAATACATTAATTACATTCACATTTAAAAAAGAAAAATTGATTAAATTTGGAATATTTGATATTCTTATATTTATAGATCTTATTCCAGTAACTCAGTACATTTAGAAGTGCAAGTTAAAATTGATGATGATAATGATAAAAACTACCAAACTGACTAAATAAGAAATAACTCAATAATTAAAACATTAGCAATTTATTTATGGATAGAATCACATAATCAACCAAGCTATCCGAACCATTACCAAAATAATCAATTATCAAACTAAATTATTGTATAAGATTTATTTCAATTATAACTTAATTAGTTAAAAGTCGAAGATTCAAATTAAGTATATATTTAAAAAAAAAACCATCCTTTGAAATTTCTACGATTTTCTCCAACACATTTGCCCTGAAATGTTGAACATTTTAGAAAAGCCACGACAAAAGAAGCCGAGACACTGGGAGATTATATCAATGGAACATCACCAAGCCAACGGCCAAAAACGGAATCATATTTATGATGCATCCCTCCCCACAATTTCAAAGGAAAACAAACAGATTAATATCACTTTCTTATAATCAAATTTGTACCTCCTCTCTCCTTCCCTATGAGTAACTGTATGTTCTCGGCGCCGGAGCTCGCCTCCACCGCAGACCAATCAATTCCGTACTGGAACAACAAGGCCGACAATGCGTGGCAGCTCACGGCGGCTACCATGGTCGGCCTCCAAACTGTTCCGGGCCTGGTCATCCTCTACGGCAGCATGGTGAAGAAGAAATGGGCTGTAAACTCTGCCTTCATGGCCCTCTATGGCTTTGCAGCCGTGCTCGTCTGTTGGGTACTTTGGGCACATCGTATGGCATTCGGCGACAGGCTGTTCTGGCTCGTTGGTAAGCCTGGTGCGGCGCTGTCTGAAAGGTACCTTCTTTCACAGTCTCCACAAGGGTGTTTTCCGATGGCTGACTACGTGTTTTTCCAGTTTGCTTTCGCCGCCATTACCGTGGTGTTGCTCGCCGGGTCTTTGCTGGGGAGGATGAACTTTTATGCATGGATGCTATTTGTTCCAATGTGGCTAACTCTTTGTTACACAGTTGGGGCCTTCTGTATATGGGGGAATGGGTTTATTCAGAAGTACCTCATTGACTATGCCGGCGGCTATGTCATTCATCTTTCTTCTGGGGTGGCTGGTTTCACTGCTGCTTACTGGGTAAACGACCTACAAAACAAGTTTTTACCTTCTATTTCCAGTGATCTTCCTTCTCCATATGCTTTGGAATCAAGTTGTTATTTGTGACAATGGTTTCTGATCCGTTGATCATGCCCGCAGGTTGGGCCACGACACTCCCAGGACAGGCAGAACTTCCCACCAAACAACATACTGCACATGGTGGGCGGTGCGGGGTTTCTTTGGCTGGGTTGGACTGGATTCAATGGAGGAGCTCCGTTTGCAGCGAGTCGGATAACATCACTTGCCATTTTAAACACACATATCTGCACCGCAACGAGTCTCTTGATCTGGGTCTCGATGGACATCATTGTATACAAGAAAAGCTCTGTGATCGGCGCAGTTCAAGGGATCATCACTGGCCTCGTGTGCATCACTCCTGGTGCAGGTTAGTTCTTTCATCCATCCTAAGAAAGAAAGATAACTACTAATTTAACCTTATATGGAGAATTCAAATCAAGTAATCATATTCGGTTTGCATGATCAATAGGGCTTGTTGATCCCGTGGCGGCTGTGGTGATGGGCGTATTGGCTGGTTTGGTGCCATGGTACACTATGATGGTGCTGCACAGGAGGCTGGCATTCCTTCAGTGTGTTGATGATACCCTGGGCGTCTTCCACACGCACGCAGTGGCAGGTTGTATGGGGGGTCTCCTTACAGGTCTCTTTGCCAAACCCAACCTCCTGAGAATGATGTATACAGATACCATATACGGTCCCGGCCTTCTGTACGCCATCTCTGATAGAAATCTCAAAGATGGTCTCAAACAAATCGGCATCCAGTTTGCTGGAGCAGTGTTTATTACCCTTTGGAATGCCGTCTTCACCAGCATTATCTGTTACCTGGTTAGCCTAATTGTTAACTTAAGGATGAAAGAAGAGGACCTGGAGATTGGCGACGATGCTGCTCATGGAGAAGAACCCTACGCTTTGTGGGGCGATGGAGAGAAGATGCCATCCTCATTTCGTCTTCCACACACGCCCAGATTACCTTCATTTTGCAGGTGGGATTAAGTTAAACTAAACCAGATTTTTCAGTAATTCTCGTTGCTGCTGCAGTCACCACAGCTTCAGGAGTTTTGAGGCAGCATTTCTGTAAATATAGCTCATCAACAAGAAAAGAATAGCTGTATTCATTATTTGTATAATGATGGTTAATATTTCAAAAGACAATAATTCTCCACCTAAATATAGTCACAGAAATTGTCGAACACATTCCCAACTTCAATATAATTTGTACCTCTCAATATTGTGAAGGGATGTCATCAATAAAAAACCTACCAGCTCTTGAAGTTCATCCATTAAATTCATATCTTATGTCACTAAAACGTATGTATCTATACATCAAAATCTTCAATAGTTACAACAAGAAAGAATAACAGGGGGAGGTTATTAAAACTTTCATCATAAAAAGAAAATGATTATGATACTAAGCGGACTTCCCATGCTGTAACCATTAGTCGTTATTGATATAGATCCATTTGCTCTGACTGGGAAGCTCATGATGTTTCTGGCTTGGTTGTCCAATGATATTCACTTTAATAGCACCATTTATTCTGATCTAATGATCTTGCAAAAAGCAAGGTTCTGATACAGTTGCATACCCAGTGTAGTAGGACTCGGAACAATGTGGCATACTGAATGCAATGATAACTGATATCCTGGAAACTAAGCAAGAGTTAGGTCAATGAATCATCTCTGTCATGAAGGCAGTTTACTTGGCTTTGGAAGCTGTTTCAACAGCTTTAGTAGTTCATAAGTTTTCGTGTCTTGACCAGAATAGAGGCAAAGGTCCAATGGGGTCAAACCTTCCTGGAAATGCAGTGGGGCAAAATATATGTTAAATAGCATTTTGAACCTATGAATATAATCTATCTTAGCTCAGGTGATTACTTTTAAATAAAAGTAAAAACAATTTACATTACTTTCGACAGATTATCAGCAAGAAGATCCTGCGTTACAAGATAAGTACAAAGTAGCGAAAACTAAGTAAAACAAGACATTTCAACGTTCATGCCATTAAGAGCATATAGAAATGAATTTAAAGATATTTACCGCATTTTTTAATGTTTTATCAGCTCCTTTAATTAACAAAAGCCTGACTACATCTGTCCGCCGAGCCTGAACAGCAAGATGCAGTGGCGTCCACCCATCCTGAAAAGAGCAAAATAATAATGGCGTCAATTAAATTTTTGAACTGTAGAAGGCACGTAATCTAACCGTTAAGGATCCCACATTGATAAAAGAAGGGACTTAACAATGGTTTATAATAGACATGGGCTACTCCTCTCATTGCCAATTGGTTTTGAGATGGAACCCCATGAATATTAATATGGTATCAGAGCCCACAAGCTCAAACGAGCATTCGGTCCAAAATGGGATCCGATCCAAGATTGGTGAACCCAAAAGAGGCACCATCTTGAGGGGGCATGTTAAGGATCCCACATTGATAAAAGAAGGGACTTAACAATGGTTTATAATAGACATGGGTTACTCCTCTCATTGCCAATTGGTTTTGAGATGGAACCTCATGAATATTAATACTAACAAAGATAAGTGTAGACATACTTTGTCCTGAAGGTTTATATCAACATTATACAATAGAAGAACTTTGATTGCCTGACTCGAAGCTGTTTGGACAGCGTAATGCATCAAGGTTGCCCCATCCTGTTAACAAGGTTTGAAGAAAGAAAAAAAAAAATTCACTTGCAAGCAAAAACCAGCTGAAAGCAAACATATACTATGTTACACTACTTGGAACTTAGAAAATAGTGAACACAGTTCATTAACTTCGGACAGGAGTTATTAACATGAAATGTTTGACTAAGATTAAAAAAAATAAAGCCTGATTATGGTAGTAGACCACTGCACTTGTGAGCTGTGACAGAAAGAAACTATAGGAGGCCATATATCCTTTCTTCTTAAGATAAAACAATATATAGATTGAAGATTCAGGTGTTCTGCAATTTCACTGTACAACTACATCTCTATAGCAATTCAAATGAGTATCAACAATTCATGCATAAAGTCCATGGCTTGTTTCAATTCTGAAGATAAAACGACAAGATCTCCTCATAGATCAATATCATTCTCTCAAGCTAGTCAACCGAATAATGGAAATACTTTAGGGGGTGGTTAGAATTTTTGCTAACCTTATCACGAACAAAAGGATTGGCACTTTCTCTTAAAAGATAATTAGTTATGGCTTGCTTTTTTCCGATTATAGCTCTGTGAAGAGCAGTGAAACCAACCTGAAAGCAAATGTAAACGAAGATGACTGAGTAATGATGAAATAACAAAGGTAAATTCACTATATTTTATGTTCAACATGGAAGTATTCCCTACCTTGTCCACAGCATTGATGTCGACATTATTTTTCAATAGTTCATCCACAAGGTAAAATTCGCCAGACCCAACAAGAGTGTGTAGAGGTAACCACATCTCCTGAACATAATTTCAAAAACCCACAAGTGGTTACTGTTGCTCTTGGTAGTTTACTTTCAAAACCCAAATCCAAGATATCAATAAACTTGAAGTATATCAAAGAAGAAGATCAAATTTAGCAACAACCTTAGAAAATCACTTAAGGATACAATGGTCATAAGATGTCTTACAGAATGAGCAGCAGCAAGATCAGGCACCCTTTTATTCAGCATAACCTTTTCCTCTTTTGTAAATAACTTGCGAGGTCCTATAATAATATATAAATGGATCATAACCAAAGAGAGACTTACAAGATTATTCTTCCAATTCTCAGAGTCATGCATATACAAAATGTAAAGGATGGCTGATTAATTTCTCTTCATTTAAGTAGCAAATAATGACAATCAAACCATCGGAAATACCTTCAGATTTTTTATCGGCAGGCTGATACTTTCCACTGTTGAAGAATTCTGAAACATCCTCCAGACCTCGTCCATAAACCGCCCACTTGGGATTTTTTGGCGCCACTCGCTCACTCGACCCGCTCATTTCGCCTCTTTTAACTTCCCTAACACCCTCCGCCCCATTAACTTCCCCAGTCGCCGGAAAAGTAGAAGGATTATCAAGAACAAGCGGCTCCAACTGCGCTAACTTGGCTTGCTTGTAAGCCAAATACTCCTCTAAATTCACACTCCTCAAAGGAACAAGCCCTTTCTTCCTCTTCTCAACTCGAGTACCAAACTCCAACTCCTGAGCAATCTTCCGCCTCTCTTTCTTGGTGATGTTAATCTCCGCTTGCGCTTCCTTCCACTCATCCGGCACCAAGTTTTCGGGCTTAATTTCCGCAACGCCGCTCTTGGGCTTAGACTGCGCTACGCCTGTACTGGAATAGCCCGCATTCGAGTCGTCGGACAGATAAGGATCGTCGAACGCGCCGTCTTCGAAGATAACGCAGTCGCCGATGACAAATTCTTCAACTTCATCTGGTTGTATAGAGTAAGAGGAGTGGGAAGACGAGGAAACAGAACAAACTCTGATCGGACGTCTGTGAAGAGGGATGGACGAGAGCTTGATGGAATTGGGAAGAGAAAGGGGAGAATTCAAGAGGGAGAAGACTCCAGCGACGGGAATATTCACACGAGCTGCGACTGACATGGTTGCTCCGACTCCTGATGATGCTGCTCCCTCAAGTCCCGAAAATGGAAGTGATATGTTCACACGATTGGGCCCAGGCCCAGGCCCAGGCCCGTACGACTCAACTTTTTGGGCTACAGGCCCATATAATTCAATTTTCCACTTCCGTTGACCCGAGGTGGCATCTTAATACTAATTAAGTGGATACTCGGCGAAAATTAGACCTCCTCAACGAAAACAAACAAAAAAAAATAGTTCAAGAAACTCAACTAAAAAACAAAGAACATACACCCTGCCAGCTAAAAAACTAAGAACATAATCATTAAATTCAGAAAAATGCAAACTAAAAACAAAATCATTAGTACGCTACGTTTCCTCAAGAAAATGCATATCAACATCATCGAATCTCACCGAGTAAACATCCAAAGTAAATACAACATTAAAATAAACCAATTCGAAACAAAAACGATGAAGTGTTTGAAATTGGAATATAGTCCAGTAACCCGTTTACGCAAAGTATTATTGGCTTTCAAACACACCCCTTTTCAACTGTCGGTGAGACTTAATTTCCATGCCACAAACCAGAAACCAACAAATAATTAGATTAGTTTGCAACGAAGTACAAATGAAAAGTTAAACCGGAAAGTTTCTAAAAGGGAAAAAATGATCACAGAAGCTTGATTTTGTACTCCGATTCTGAAATTATTCAAACTAAACTAAATAAAAATGATTTGAAAAAAGGAGTTATGATGAACAGAAAAACAAGAGTTGGGTACCTGGCAGCTCGAGTAATCTTTACAACCAAGAAATGCTACGTTAGTAGCGGGTAGTTTAGGTGCGGCAAGAATTGAAATCTTAGTTATAATTCCCAAACATAAAACGTTATCGGGATGATACAACTTCAAGACCCGAAAGAATCGACAAAAACTTGATGAAGACTTACACTTCGGGCTCGAGCACAACTCAATCTATTTATGCCTATATTATTAAATATCTAGAAGCCAATTCGGGCTCGAGCACAACTCAATCAATAAAGTAACCTTGCATAACTCAAAGCACCAACGGAGAACTTACTCGTTTTTCAAAATTAAAAATAACAGAAAACTAAAAGTGAGATGGACATAAAACCTTGTAATATTGTTTACTAGCACAAGTCGAAACATTGAACTGATAAACCATGTGACTGACAACATTCGACCAGTTGGGACTGCTTAAAACTATGAGGGTACAGACAAATATTCCGAGTACACTACTGACCATTCATCCACCGATTTCTTAATAGCACCATAGAAGTACACTAAAGGCCTCACACCTCACCTAGCGCCACGAGGAGGATACCTCCTATCTGGGCTGCCATAGGGGGGGGAGTAAGGAGGCGATCTCGAGTGCTCCCTCCTTGATCTTCCACCATAAGGTGGGGAGTACTCTCGAGCCCCTCGATACGGGCTGCGTCTTGGAGACCGACGATACCCATAGTCCTCACGGAAGGAGCCACCACCACCATGGTACCTACCACCACGATCGCCACGGTAGCCTAACACAACAGGGAACAAAACCAGTAAGAATGAGGTTTCAGTAAATTGCAAACACAGACCACATACACTGATGGATTGTGATTACCAGAGTCTCTGGTACTTTTCAACCCCAAATAGTGTCCCGGTGTTGGAGTTCTGGGCCGTTTCCTCCGTGACTGGAAGACAAAATAGAAAAAAGTGTCATCTCATTTCTTTTAGTAACCTATGTCCCAGTCCAATGTTCTATTGCTACTATAGTTTTCCAGACAAGCACTTGGAAAAGAAGGAAAAAAAAACAAGTTTTGACATTGTTGGCAGAGCACCATGATTATAAGAAATATTCATAGGGGGAACCGGCCACCAAAAAAGATGCGCTCGATATCGGGAGTCAGGAAAATTTGACTAGTGTCCAATGAATGCTAGGCATGAAATACCATAAAGCCTGATTAGAAAGTTCTTGATAATGTCCGTTGTTTAGTTGAGTTGAAAGTGAATGCTGATGTAGAAAAGTTGTTGGGCAATATAGTTGATATGTTTAGTTGATCAGGCGCATTTGAAATCTGTGGTTTAAGCTTGTCATTGACCAAGCTGTTTCACTAAAGTTGACATGGATGAACTCATCATCTTTGATTGCTGCCAACATAGCTGACACAACTTGTTCTGAATAACCAGAAAACCTCCAAGTTAAGAAAAAAGGGAAACCAACCACAATTTTTCAATGTTAACCCTGCAGAGAAATCATTGTACCTTCTCCACAGTTATATATCGACCCTCTAGAATTGACTGGTTGAGATGCTTAACACACCGATTAGCATCATCAACATTGTCCATCGTGACAAATGCAAAACCACGGGAAATCCGTGTACGGGGTTCAACCACAAGGAAACAAGAAGCTACCTGAGAATAGGAAACATTACAAAAGATAAATTGATCACTGACTGCACCATGAGCAAGGAAAAAAGCAGTCCAGAACTTGGGAACAGTTGGTATCTAATCCAATTTTTATTTATATTTTTCAACAGACAATATTATGAATGCACTGCATTCACGTTTGACAGGCATGTTCCGGAAAATGATTTTAAAAAGCAGTAATCAGTTTATGCCAAAACTTTTGAAACTGAATAATTAACATTTTCCATTTTGTTCAAATTCAATGTTTAAGAAGTAATAAGCAGACAGTGAGATTTTGTGAATAAAATGGAACCATGTTTTTGTGACCCGTAGTGACATCCAAATTTTCCTACCAAGCACATTCTTAAATTCAATAAATACAATCTTGCTTTATGTTGAAGCACTTGTTTTCGGATCATTGTGAACTAAAGAAAATGTTTCATCTTGCTCAAATTATGCAATCAACCACAACTAATTATGGGTTCACAAACTAACCTTGCCCTCCTTGGAAAAATGCTCTTCAAGGTCTCTTTCAGTGACCCTTGTAGAAAGACCGGTAACATAAAGTGTATTCCCAGTATTAAGAGCATGGTCCCTGCAAACAAGCTCAAAAACATTAGCCAACGAGAAATTAAACACTAACAACACATGCAACAGAAACATCAATAGACCAAATTCAAGTACTGAATTAGAGAGTTGATTATTTGCTTTTCAGAGTTACAGCTGAGAAAACTCACCTCCCACGACTTCTGGACCTTGATCTGAATCAAAAACATGTGTAACCATAAGAATAGGTGATACACTACCAAAGTTCACAAACATATAAGTTGATTTTACTTTACATTTATCTATATTAAAGTTGTAAAAAAAGAAACTAATAACAAACAATGAAAACCAACCTTCCACGACTTCTGGACCTTGGCCTTGACCATGATCTGGATCGGGACCTGGGCCTAGATCGGGACCTGGATCTAGATCTTGACCTTGAAGGAGCTCTCCAAGGGGAAGGAGATCGAGAGTACCTGAGTAAATTAAAACCATATATAACATGAACACCAAGTACCCACGGGCATTATAATTAAACCTGTTTGAATGAAAATATTGTTAAGAAAATGGGAAATCTAAAATTTTATGACTGCCAAGTTTCTTAATTATTACAAATGCACATAATTTCCATCACCCTCTCCCATTGATCCTCAATGGCCCGTAAATTCTAAGGAGAATTGGAGTTTATTGGGATAAAGGTTTACAGCACAATAACACATACAGTAGTAAATCCACACATGCTTCCAAATATCAGTTACTGATATGACAAGTTTTCAAGTCTAACAAATCGATATGCTCATAATGGAAAAGGGAAATCATTAACAGCTCAAATTTTTAAATAACAACCAAGAGTATGAGTTATAGTGACCGAGATGTTTCATGTCTATCTCTTATCGACCCAAGTCAAATCCCGTCAAATCTCCGAAATTAAAATATCAAAAAATTCTGAAGCTCCAGTAGTAGAAACAATAGTCACTCAATGGGAATTTTTTAGTACGATTTTCCAATTGCTACCTATTAGACTTCCATAGAAATCAATAGGTACCAAAATTGGGAGAGGGAATTGCGTACCCGTGTTCTACGACCATGACCTAACCCACTACCCTCAAAAGTTGCAACGACGGGTAGAACTTCAGGAGAATTCTCGACCTAATTACAGACATCTCGAGGGATGAAATGAAATGTTCGAAACTCGTGAACTTATTATTTCCTTCATGGAGGGTCATAATTTAGTTAATCAATATCTCACAAAAAAAAAAGGGTAAAGAAGATCGTGAATGCTTCAACGTTCATTCAATCATCTCTGAGCCCTAGGTACCCCAATATCGTAAATCGAAAGTAAAACACATCAATTCAACAAAAACGTTTATAAGCTCACCTTTTGCGATGAGAATCGGCCTGCACACAGTCAAACATGTTCGATTGTTAAACCTTTCACATCGATCAAATAAAAACAACGATGAACAAATAAATAAATAATAGAGACGGAAAAGAAAGCTTGCCATTTTTCAGAACGAGACCAAAATGAGAACGGCGGCCACCAAAAGCTAGAGAGCAGTACAAACAGAAATTTAGGGTTTCTGAAGACGGCCTCCCCACGAGTCCCAGCAGTCGCAACTCGCCGTCGTGGGCTGTGCGATGGGATGAACTTTAAGAGTTCGTTCGAAGAATTTTCATATTGTTTTAAGAATCATTCGGTGCGGCGTGCGTACGATAGTTATCGTGTGCTCTCGTTCCTGATCCCTACGTCACTGCATTTTGGCCTTCCAAATTTCTTAAATTTTGTCTTTTCATTTTCTTAAAGTAAATTGCTAACTTTATATTTATTTCAAAAAAAAAAAAAAAAAGATTTGCTAACTTTATTTATTGCAGTACCAACCAACTCTAAAGAGTTTTTATTCCACTCTTGAACTTTAATGAACAAGGCTGTAGGCACCAATTTCGAATTCCTATCTTATCTCTAGTTTGAATTAAGCAAAAAATAAAATCTTGTGAGAGTATTAAAAAAATTTCACACCTCATAGAAATTAGATAAATTCAATCCAACTCTGAATGAAAAAATCTATAAATTTAATTATTTGGAACAAACTTATTTGAACTTTTTGTTTTAATTATTATAAAATTATATATGTATATATTTATTTTAATTTTATTTCATTCAACAATTTTACATAGATTATTTATTCTCCAACAACATTTTTAAAATAAATAACTCACTCAAATTCATTCAACACAAAAATTTAAATATTGAGTTTGGTTCGTTATTTAATAAGGGTGGTGTGGGTTGAATAAATTTATAACCTAAACAATTTGTGTTAAATGTAAGAAGTATTTCAATTCATTCCCTCTATAAATATTAAACAATATAATCAATACATATCATATGAATGGAGTATCTATTTTTTATAAACTATTGAATGAAGCCACAGTAACATGGTTGTGCTCTTTATTGTCTCCTAATAACAGTTAAATGCATATTCTATTTTTTCAGTAAGGAATGACCCTCATTCCCTAACAAACATGCTAGTCTAAATCAATCAACAACAATTTGAAACTTTATTTGAAGGAAAATGAATGAAAATCCACGATAATATCCCTACAATACACATCCACAAATTCAACACCATTAAAATACATACAAACATCAATGAACACGATAGAAAATCCCACCAACCACCCAGAATTTTTCACTCTTAGAACACCAGACTCGGCTACTGACTAGCAAAGTTATCGACTCTCTTTCCCATTCGCCTATTTCGACTCGGGATCAAGAGGGACTGATTCTACCCAATGGAAACTACCTTAAGTTCAGCACAAAATTTACAAAGCCTATATGACTAAACTTGCAGAAAAAGCACACCATTGCTGTTAAAGGAAGGAGACTATGTGGTCAAAACATCAGGAATTGCAGTGGAATGAGACCCTAGTATCTTCCCCCCTATATCAGGGAAGTTTTCATGTCCAGGCAGAGGGCTGACTTTCCCGTCACCTTCCACGAGCAACGGATACTGGAGAAGGTGGCCCTGCAACGTCGTGAACTCCTCATCCGTGAACCTCGTCCAGTTATCCTCCGCAATCCTGTTCACTCTTCTCACGCATTCCAAACTTTCTGGCTCCTCAAAACATGGATCAAGCAACCCGAGATGCTCACTCCATAGCGACATTCTGTACCCGTAAATCTGTGCATCCAGGGATTAACAATGATGAGAAAAATGCGATTTGGCAAAAGGGAGAACACCGTATGTTGATTTAAAGCAAAGTTATACAGAGAAATTTGCTTCATTTCCTTCAGTTCTTGAGCTAGGAGATACGAAGTGACGACAGAAAACATTTTAGAATTTCTAATGACACCGAGATTACAAGAGAGAAGGCAAAAAGGACCTAACCTGACCCCGAGGGTGTTTCTTATTCTTTGCCCACGTGTGATGTGGCTGATATGCACCAGTGGCTATCTCGGTGTCCTTGGTTCCCGCCATAGATCTTTGGTTAATATTGGCAGACCCAATAATTACATATTCATCATCTACTACCATCCCCTTGGCATGTACATATATCATAAACCGTTGATGTTTTTGTGCACTAGATATAGATCCCTGATATATATGAATATTTTCGACAAAAAAAGAAATCAAGGTCATGACCAACCAATATAAACTAGCCCCAAAACTAAGATACTTGAATAAAACTCAGAATTTATACGAGAAAATATTGGGGTGAATCACATCCCAACTTCTGAAAGTTCTGGAGATGAAGTTGAAAAGCAGCTCATAGGATGGAACAATATGTGGAATTAACAACTGGACATTAATGGATCTCATGATCATGAAACTTGGGCTATTTTTGGTAGCTAAATGCAATTCCAACCCAAGCTCACCATGTTTGGAAATGATTTACAATTTCTTGTAGAGTATTTTGGCCAAAATGCTGGTTAAGAAAGACTTGAAACATTATAATCAAAGTGATTACTAAATGCTTATAATCACAAGATGAGCGTAAACTAACCCAAACACTTATAAAGTTCCAACAAAATGAGATAAAATCTTTTACCAATTATCACGAATTAAGCTTATACACTCCTATATGAAAAGTTACCGTTGTATCGTCGGTTGTCTGCCCATTGTTAGGAATTTCTTCCCGATTACCAAGGCAGTAGAAATTTAGGTAGTCTTGAGGGCGCAAATCTGGTTGCTGTGATGACTTCAATTCACTTGCAACAATTTCATACATCATTTGCATTGTTTGTCCCTGCAATAATCAAGTGCACAATTCAATATGAGTCAGTATTTGGCTCATGAGTTAGGTACGTGCAACCCAGAGTTAAGAAGCAAGTCTATTTTTCAGTAAGAGTGTTCAAAAACATCGACAATCCCAAAAACCCGAGTAACTCGACCCAATCCGTACGGTTAGGGGAGGGGGGTTGAAACTAATTTGAGTTAGATCAGATTCAATTTTTTCTAACTCAATTAGGTTGATTCGATTCTCGGGTCCACCAAGTTGAACCAACACAACCTACGAAAATATAATATGTAATCACAACTTTTATAAATTTATTATTAACTTAAAATTCATTTCACTTCAAATTGTATAGACTGGGTTAGTTGCTTAAAATTTTTGGCTAGTCAGCTTGTTTAAACCTTAGTTAAAGACATATTTGAAAAGTTACGGAACTCTACCTAAGGTATGAGGTGTGAGTTTTAACTAAAACCCAATAGAACGGAACCAATCAAATCCAATCTTTATAGGTTGGTTTGGGTTGGGTTCGTAATTTTACAAAGATTGCTTGTGTTATAGAAATCTATAACCAAAATGATTGCATTAGATCTAAAATATTACAAAACTCAACCCATAAACACTCCCACATTTTAGTATGTGATTGGCTTATTCTATACCACCAGCTTGTTAATCCCACAGCCTACATAAACCTAGGTTCATACCCTCAAATTTAAAAAATACTAAATTCTATTACCTACAAACTTTTCTAAGTAGAAAAATCCACAAACTGAATGCAAATAACACAAATCCAAGCCCAAATATTCTAAAAGTTGCTTAATATCATCATAAATTTCCATTGTCAACTGTGTAGATTCTCTTAAACCAAAAACTACTATAACACAATTCAATATATTACTGTATCAGCTCGTTTAACAGTACTAGTCCATTGCATTGAGTACCAGATACTGTAGCAACCTGAGTTTGTCCTAAACATTTTGAAATATATTTCAATTGATCTAGAAACTATTTCAGATAGCCATATACCTGCCAATAAAGGATCTCTTGCATGGGACCGCTCTTCGGATCTCCCTCCGGCCACATTGGTATGATAATATATACAACAAATCTTTCCTTAGCTCTTATTTTGCTTGCAATCTTTAGGGCCAACTCCATGGGAATGAGATTATCAGCCCCTGCTCATGCCAAAAACCCATAAATATGTAATGTAGGATAGTGGACATATAACTTCTATAATTTTCTTCCAAAAAATAAAAGTCTAAAATCTGCAGTGAGTTTGCAAACCCAAACAAATGAAGAAGCCTAACATGACAGCATGGTATATGGGCAAAGTTGGAAAGCAGAATCATGTTTTGGTCATTCAAGTTAAACAATAAGACAGAACAATTCTACCAGTACCAGAGAATCAGAGATAAACATCTGACGATGAGAAAAACAGGCATATAATAATATTTTACAGTTCAATCATATTTTTACCTCAAATAAAGATTTATACTCCCACAGGCACGATCAACCACGAGAGAAGAAACAAAGTAAACGACTACAAAGAAACAGAACTTATAATGAGAAACTGACCAGCATTTTTATATCCCGGCCATCCGTACGATGATCCAATAAAATACTGATTTTCAATATATATGAAATGTTGCGCGGATCTGATGGCCTGGATATATGCCATTTCAATGCTTTTCTCTATAGTCAAGTTTTTTGCACAGACAAGGTTCTGCAGCCACAAGAAAATGACATATTCACATCAACTTTGATACATCAACTTTGATACAAAAATATCTACTATCCAAAATGGGAGGGTAGCGGAGGGATAACCTGAGACTCGGCAACATGGACATCTTTTGGAAATCCTTTAACAGACCCAGAGTCAATGGAACGGAAAATCTAAAAACGAAAGATAGACATGGATTTAGTACATAAATGAAATCAAATAACAATGTTTACTAATGAAAAGGAAAGAAAGATTGATTTCAACCATAACAAGAAAAAAAGCCATATAAATTCCAACCTGAACATGCCAGTTTTCAGGATCTTCTTCCCTTGAAACAAATACTTTAGGGTCATCCTCTGGAACTTTTATCGTACCGTCTCTTAAGGTAGTTAGGTTAGGGCTTAATATCCATGATATCCGCTCTATCTTTATCAAAGCATCATGCCAGTGAGAAATTCTCCTGCACCGTAAGCCAAACTCTGTCCATCTTGTGGCTTTGTTCCAACGTTGCTCAAAGTTCATAAGCAAGTCATATGCAGCCGGCCCTTCGATTCGACAGTGCAAGTCATGCCATGGTTGCCGTGGAGCTTTGGTTCCAGCCTAGTGTGTTCCATCCAAAAACAAAGGACAAAATGATGGCAAATACCTCAATTTCTTAACCACCCAAATCGGGTAAAGCATGATTAAATCTAAGGGGAAAAGGTTTACTCAAGTTTCTAACAGTATTATCAAAGTAAAATTATCATTTAATTCTACTCACAGGAAATGTAGGATTATGAAAATCATCCTTAAATATCGTGTCAAGGCCAAGGAACAATCGATGCTCAGGTGTATCGTAGCGACCATCACAGAGATCAAGACCTCCAATAAATGCAGTTATCTTTCTGTTATTACCATATCCTTGTGTATCAACAAGGACACACTTTTGATGGTGTGTGAAGACAGTCCCTACAACCTGGACAAAAAGTTTTTATGAGCAACTTTCTATAATAGAGTGGTCAATCACAAAGCAAGTCAATCCATACAATAACCGGCTTTCCAAATAAGACAAACAAGAACCTTAAAAACCCCAAGACATTTTTCAAAATGACAACAAAGTTCATTTTAAGGTTCCTTATTCCGATTGTAAAGCAGAAGAAGCGCTTCTCCTTACCCCTGACTAGTCCTATCTTAAAAAAAAAAAAAAAGATGCACAAAAGGAATTGAAAATGAAACAAAAATAACATGAAGAAAATCATGCCACAATAATATCAGCCATAAGCTTTTGAGTTCTAACTATGTGATAACATATAGGCTTCTCATTTTGCTCCTTGGCACTGGGAGGGAAGGTGGTAAACCAATACCTTCTGTTTCACATAGCTTAACTTGCCACTTGGATAGCGAGGTGAGAGCACGCAGATAACTGATGAATGCTTGAAAAATTTTCGAGTTTCCTCATCATGTGTCTGCATCAATCCTGCCTGCAACCGAAGGCAATTACATTTTAGAATCAACTCTTCAAAGTCATCTTATATTAAAGAGTTGCAAGCAACTCTTTCAATATCATTATAGAAACTTGCTTGAAGAAAAACATTCAAGGCTTCAGAACTCTAGCCTAAAATGATAAGCATGCATTCCATTCATCCGTTATATGTCATACATAAATCTCACCGTGTTAATGAATAACTTATCGTGAGAAGTCTTATCATCCCAAACCATCATCAAAACTCGGACCCCCTCTTCTGATTTGTATTTGAGCAGATCACCAAGAGTCAAATCCCCACCTCGCGGCAATGGCCTGCTTGGCTCTCTAATCAGCTTCACCTTATGAAAAACCGACCATCCGACGACATAAATCATATGGTGAGCCTCTGATATAGCATGGCAGATATCTTCCCAGCATTTCTCTTGCCTATAAACTTTCCCTCCGTCTAATCCAATCTCCGGCAGCAGCCCATCAGGCACATGAGCATCTTGGTACAGTCTCATGGAGCTCCCTTTCCTAACGGGAAAATAAGTGTGCCGCACGCCCTTTTGCTCCGGATCTCCAGCAATGCCGTGCCGATATAATGGGTTATTCTCAACCGGAGAGAACTTCATTTCGAGTCGTAGCGAAGCGCCAGCCTTCGGCGGCTTATCATTTGGGCCAAGCACCTGAAACCACCCGCTAATGAGTGCACCGGAGGCGATTTTCTGAGCAGGGAATTTGACCGTCCCCATAACTTCAGCGCCAAAGACGTCGTCGTCTTTCACGTTGAATTCCAAGAAGGCCATCTTCTGTGCAAGGGGGATAACGAAATGCTCATTCCAAATGGGACTCTGGGAATTCTTTATGACGCGAGTCCGAGCAACGGTTTGTTGTGGG